AAATTGTCCATGTAATCTAAACTAGGAAACAGCGACCCAGACTTGACTATAACGGAAGTTTCCATAGCTGTGACTTTTGATGTATGTAACATGGAATTTGTTGTTTCTAGTTGGAAAATATTTATGCCCATAAATTAGAGAAGCAGTTAAAGTAAGCCATGTAGTCCTCGATGGGAATTATTTTGGTGAAAAGGTTCATGAATAAATGTAAACCAAGTCTGTAGTTGAAAAGGCTCAGGCCTCAGGATAAAACTTTTAATTTTTGAAAATTAGCTGTTCAAACTTTCTTTAAATTTATCTTAGCATAACTTGAAGATACCTTTTCTAGTTTTAAGAACTTATACTTAGTTATTTAGAGTACGCTTTGTAATTAGAACCCGTTATGTGTATTTCGTGTGAAGTGTTTTGATGCTATTTTTCTTTTAAGTTGAAGATAATCGTTCATTTACCTTAGTTTATATGAAGTCATGAACTCCTAAGTTCTGAAGAAAAATCTCCCAACTGACAAGAGTGTGTTTCTCTTTGTTGCTTATTCCGAGAACTCGATGTAACATTACGTTTCTAGTAAAAAACTATCCTCCAGTTTGATGTTCTAGAATTCTTTTAGACACCATGTTGTCGGTGTATTAATACTGCGAGGAGAGTTTAAATTATGATCAGTCTTGGGAGTAATTGGGTTCATTATAGTGTCTCCGTTTAGCGCGTATTTTACTTAATGCCTCGGATAATTTAATGCAGTTTCTATTGTACTTATTTTTTTACTTCTTTGTAGAAGAGAAATGTTCAGTGTATAAAATACAAAAACGGCGTTGATTTTCATTGTCTGTCTCCATATTCCACCACGTTTTCCATTGCAGTCTCGGTACCGCATGGAAGCCTTCAGTTATGCTTCTCCCGTTCCATCGCAGAAGTACATAGGCTGCACCTTCAATTTCTTCTCCAAAGAGAGCGAGAACTCTCCACTCCAACCACAGAAGAAACGAAGTACTTACATTATTTAGTCAGACGACGAGAATTGAACTGTAAAGCTTATCTCTTTTTCTGACTTACTGAGGACTTCTTGAATATCTTGTTGAAAATTTGCCTTTCCTTTGATACGCTTGACGGAGTTTTTGACACATGACGTCAAAGTCTTTCTGTTTTGCAAACAAAATGAGATGTAAAAGCATTTCCGGTTCCGCTTTTTATTTACAAACCGGCTCAGTACTGCATCAATGAAATATTTGAACTGACCAAGTCCTGTATTTGGGAGATTTCAAAATGGATGTAATAATGATTTTAGATATATGAAATTCATATATTTGCACTGCGGTGAAGAAACGAATTTAAGAGATCCTCGCAGCTAAGAACACTACTGAACTAGTATCATTATTCGTCAATTGGATTAGCTCAGTTGGAAGAGCGCTGCACCGGTATCGCAGAGGTCATGGGTTTTTTCCAGGTCCTATTGTTAACTACTAGTTCAGTGGTGTTCTTAGCTGCAAGGATCTCTTAAAATTTGTTTCTTCACCGCAGTGCAAATATATGAATTTTATATATCTAAAATCATTATTTATTAAGAATAAATTACGCACTCCTTTGTGGCGGATCTAGGAGGTGATCAGAATGTTCGGCAAACTTACTAAAGTGAGGTGATAACGGCATATTTTTCAGTCGTTTTAGAGTAGCTTGCGAATATTTCCCGGGGTGGATTATTACAGATAGCCCTCCCCCCATTACTGACGACCGCATTCAGCTCTCACTTTGACCATCTCCTCACAAGTCCCGGATCCATTTCAGTTCATGAACAGCTACACATAGCTCAGAGGAAGTTTGATTATTGTTCATGTTGACGGCAGACGTAAATTAAAAACGAGGGCTGTTTTTTGTGACATCAATAGATGTAAATTAAGTGTGAAAAATGCAATATTGTGTTTAGAATATGAAAGACTTTAGCTTATTAGGGTCAGTAAGTAAGGAAGGAATGAAAAACAATGAATCGGCCAATGACAGGACTATAAATTTATTTAGTCCACGGATAAAGAGTAGTTTGCAAATGAGCGGTGTCAAAGACAGTTAGGGATTGTATAAGTTTCTCTTTACACCATAAAGTGATTAGTCAAGAGTTTTGCTCCATCTGCCAGCTACTCCAAAGCAATTAGAGCCAGTCGCGACTTTACTAACAAAAAAGCAAAATGATTTTCCTCAATTTTTCTCTCTAAATAATCTGCTGTTTAAAGCTTGTCCACTATTGCAAATAGAGAATGTTGAATTCAGGTTGTATTGAAAAAAGGCAGAACCGTAAAAACTCAGCACATAAGAATACTCCATCTGATTCTTGTTCCACTACAATAGACGAAAAATGTTATGTGGTGCTATGTATTATGCAACCATCTATATGTGCAATCATATGTATGCAGTCGACTACGTGACCGATTCCGAGAACACACTTGCGACGTAGAAAGAAATGACGTGGACGCATCCAAACCAGTCGCTAAACAATTTAATCTCCCTACTTATTCTATACAGCATATGGCAGCTTCCGGCCTTTCCCTACATTTAGGCAGCTCGGAAAGCCGCAAAAAATTAGAGCAAAAATTTATCTTCTTAACGAGCGCTTCTCATTCAACTAATTTATTCTTGTGTTCTCGTCACCATATTCCCACCAATAATGTAGCTCCATTGTCTACATATAAACCCACACACAACCCACAACTCCTCCAATCGCTCTGACGAAGAGCTAACGCTCGAAACGTCAGCCTTTACACTCTTCACGGTGGCCAATTTACGTTTTCAACTCAGTTGTTAACACTAAATTATCCATATATATATATACATACATACATATATATATATATATATATATAAATGTGGGGGTAGAGTCTACCTCGGCATAAAGTGCTTAAATACTGTGGTAGCAGAGCTGGGTATATATAAGTGAAAGAGTCAAAGAGTTTAAGTGTTACTCTGAGTTTCGCGCCTTAGCGCTCCTTCGACAGAAAAGTTCTATATATATATATATATATATATATATATATATATATATAAATTGTTCTTTGCTTTGTGATGGATCTGTACCGGGAGATCTGAGGAATCTTGGCATTCCTTGTCGATCTATTAGTGACAACTGACTTTAGTGAGAATTTCCGTAAGAGCGTCAACTTTATGCATCACTAATTTCTCTTAGAATGGCAGAGAGAACTAAAGTGGATCTGAGCGCATGATTCGCAATCCGGATATCTGTGGTCTGACTCTGGCCAGCCTCCTCCTGGGAGCGAGGTTGGAGTCTAACGTCATTCTTTGTACATAGCCAACTACTCTTCCACCGACTGGAGTTATTAAGAAGCTACGTCATCTAATGTGAGGTCTCTTCATCTCCAAAGGGAATCGTCTTTTTTGAATAAGTATTTGTTTGCTGTGGTAGACAAACACTTATGAAAGTTCCAAGATAACAAAAAAAGAAAAAAAACCAGAAAAGCCGAGAACAACGGTAATTAGCGCAGGTTACAATTTAAAGAGGTGAAAATTGAGGCTTAATTTACAAAACCGACTAACCGTCTGAGTGAAAGGCGTGGAGCTCCTAGTACTTTGTTTAATTAGCATAAAATGTATAACCTTCTGTCTTTGCCTAAGTTAGTAAGTGCGCGGGTTATTGTTGACAAGGTTGAGACTTTTAGTCGAATGGACAACCATCAGGTCTGGCCGACTTAACGTTATTCTTTACATCAGAAACCGCACAGCTAAATTCTGGAAGTCTATGTGTGATCGTAAGTAAGTAAAGGCTTTATTTAAAGAGGGTTATATTTAACTGTAGTAAAAACACTGATGAACTTGTGGCCCTTATTACACTATAAAGCGACCTAAAAATCGGTTTTGTATTTAATTCACAAGCTATACACTTAACAAGGTTATAAATTTATTATCCTATCGACAAATACAAATACATACATTAATTGATGACAACCTTAAAATGATTCAAGTAGCGAGGAAGCTTTCTAGTTATTTATAAATTTCTCATACAAAATGCGCTTGAAACTAGCAACTGATACTTTCTTACGCCTGACTCTATTGAACTCCAATGCTCAATTTTCCTAACCGTTAAAGTTCGTCATCCATCAGTTTTCCTTAGGTACTTTTTTCAAATCAAGTTTAACATTACCATGGCCGAGGCTCTTAACTCATGCATTGTGAACTGGTATCAGAAACGAACTGTTATTCTCTGAACCGATTGACGATGCCTCGCATTATGTCCATGAGAGTGCGACGAATGGGTCCCATCTTCCAGCAGTATATAACAGGGTCCAAAGACGAGTTAAGGAAAAACAAAGTCATTACATAGAGCCGAGCTTCGTAAAAAGAGATTGGACTTACAAAATGAGTTAGTAGTAAAAAGGAGAGAATATAGCAAGGCAAATAGCAAATTAAGAACACAATACATACAAAAAATGTTCCAAGAGCTGACTTTCGAAGCTTCAAAAAGTTAGATAAGTCGCCATTTTGAACTCCCTGTTGCGCTTCTTGGATTTGAAGGCCTTCAATCTGGATTATGTGTCGCTTTAAGACTATATAAATCCTCCAGTAGACAATTACCACTACAATAAGGCAAACAGTCTTAATCACGAGCCCAGTGACTTGTGAGCTGAAAAGCAATGGATCCCAAAAGACACTAGAAGAAATAATTGCGCTTAACAGCCATATTGATGTCACCGCTGCAATGACGCGCTTGTGAGTCACAAGCTCTCGATATCTGAGATGAAGATGAACAGCTAAGAACCTGTCCACACTTATGGTTACAACATTAAAGAGCGAAGATAAACAAAAGAATTTCATAACAGCCATCAATCTCTTATAGGAAATGCAGTCGATACGTTTTTGATTTAACCAGCCGACTAGAATAGAAATATGGAGCGGCTGTGCCAACAAACCGACGCCAACATCAGAGGCAGCCAGGCTCAGTAATAATGTTTTCAAAGGTTTTGACAACAACGCAGTTTTTTTTATCGCATGGATGGTTACGATGTTCAAAATGATGTTTGCATAACACAAAAAGCTGTTGATGACACAATTAGCAACAAGTGCCGGACGAAAATCTTTAAAATACAGAGAGGTTCCGAAAGAAGATTTGTTGAGATGGTCGCAAACGTTTTCCGCCATGAGAGCTGAGTGTTAAAACTACTGTGGCTCTGATATTCTCCAATTCTAAACGGAAAATTTTAAGTCATATGTAACTGTCAATCACAAGCATATAACACAATCAAAGCCATCTGTACGAACAGTCAAGATGTCCCCGGCTTCAACTCCGGCATTTGAATTTTTTCAAAAAGCATCGAGTACCGCTTTAAATTCGGCGTTAGTTAGAACTAAAACAAATTATCTGTTTAATACTTCAAGACATTCCAACTAAACATGGGATTTATACCTAAAAAAAGGTGATTTAAAGAAAAGCTGTCATTAACATATTTTTCATCTATCAACATGAATAAACGAAATATTATAGTCAGTTATATTAAAGAGCGCTTCAAATATGTTTCCCTAGTAATAAATTCGTTTGAATACACGGAAGACATCTTTAAAGACACAATATTTTTACATATTCCAACCGAAAGAAATACAGATCAGACATTTTATTAAACACTTATTCTGCATAAAGCACTTAAACGAAAAGAATACAGGAAGTTTGACTATTGTTTATGTTGACGGCTGTTGTAAATTAAAAATGAGGGCTGGTTTTTTTGTATCATTAATAGATGTAAATTAAAGTGAAAAATGCAATATTGTGTTTGAATATGAAAGACTTTCGCCTGTTAGGGTCAGTAGGTAAAGAAAGAATAAAAAAACAATTAATAGGCAAATGACAGGACTATAAATTTATTTCGTCCAGAAGTCAAAAGAAGTCTGCAAATGAGTGGTGTCATGGTTCGTAATAGTTTTGCTTTACATCGTAAAGTGATTGGTCAAAAGTTTTGCTCCATCTGTCAGCTACTCGGAAGCAAATTAAAGCCATTCGCCACTCAGCTAATGAATAAACAAAATAATTTTCCTTAATTTTCTCTCTAAATAATCTGCTGGTTAAGGTTTGTGCACTATTGCAAAGAGAGAATCTTGAATTCAGGTTGTATTGAAAAGAGCAGAACCCTAAAAATTCAGCGCATAAAAATACTCCTTCTGAATCTTGTGCCATTATACTCGACGAAAACGTTTATGTGTTGCTATAAATAATGGAATCACCTATATGTGCAATCATATGGATGTAAATGGATAGAACTTCCATACTGGTACTGTTTGCAGTGAGGTGAGAAGGGATTCCTACCTTTACGCCCATGAATAAGACCCATTCAAATAAAAGGTGCTGGGTGGTTCTAGCTTAGTATGGATGACAATTTAGCGTTTGACCATTTAAATGAGAGCTACAGCGTAGTATTTTAATGTGGTACAGTTTATCGTGCAGCATAAGGTGGTTCCGGCTTGAATAACATCCTGTATTTTGACTATTCGAACCAAAGCTATTTACCAGTTCTTCCATGTGCACTGTTTATCAAGCACCACGAAGTAGTTTAAAAGTCTGTGGATCGAACAATAGCGTTTGACCATTCAAATGAAAGCCACCGAGAAGTTTTTTCATATGTTTCAGTTCATTATATTCTTCAAGGTGGTTTTAACCACAAACCTTTGAGTTTAGCGGGCAGTACAGTGATATAAAGCCCGCTAAATTTGACCAATCATAGCCCACGTATTAACCGAGAGATGTAATAGTGTTAGTTATTTAGTGCGAGGCATAATGGTTTAGCCCTCAATGTACCTCTGAAATATTAAACTATAATATCGTTTCGCTAATTTTCTAACTTGAAGGTAAAGTTTTCCCTCGTCATTTTTACCTTTTCTCCGAGCGGTTGCATGAAATTAACAAGGCGTTTTTGATCAAAACACGACCGAGCAAAGGGTCTCGGGCGATATCTCTTTTACGCAGGCGCAAATTAAAAATGTACCACCAGAATTAAAAAGAGGAACACATTTCCTTTGTTTTGATATGTAAAGTGTCGAACAAAAAGCAGATTTACCCTCGTCAAATGGCGTTTCAAAACAGCTGTATCTTCCTCCTTTTGATTTTTTCCTGTTTTGTAAGCGTGAAAGTAGTAGGAGAGGGATCGGGAAAGTCCGAAAGCGCTTCGGGAATTAATCTGCCATCGTTTATTTACAAGATAAACAAGTAAGATTTGTGAAGTTCGTTGAAGTATGAAGTCTAAATAAATGCCTTTTTAAACTTGTTTGCTGGATTTTTTGTAAACTTCCCTTATTAATTTTTCGTTTCAGCTTACTAATCTATACTATTTCAAAGCAATGTAAAGACGAAGACGGAGAACCATGAGTCGGTCCTTTCAACAATCGTAAACAAAGTGTTTGAGCAATCAGGTATAATAATCAATAGCCGCATATCAGCAGTCTTCAGAAAGAAAGTATTCTGTCTTCAGAAAGTTGTTGAGAAAACTAGTAATCGTGGCGGAAGGCAATTAAATACACTTCTTTGGAAGTTGGAAACGGGCCCTCGATATGGATTTAATATCATATCGATCTCAGTATCATACAGTTTTGTATCTTTCTTCCGTGGATTCGCCTTTCTAACGAGGGTGTATGTTGAGTATTCATTGCAAAATCGCTTTGTTTTTTTCATTTCCCTCTTTGGCCTGTCCGCCATTTTGAAAATTCGTAACGGAGAGCATACGCATTACGTTGGGTTAGTGGTTGCGCGCACCTGGAACCGAGAAAAAGAAATGTTCGTCGCATTGGGGAATGAGTTTGATGTGTTGATCTAAAGAAAAGCAGATATAACTCAATCAATTCAACTGATTTAAGAGCTCTTTTTTGTTAACAGTGTAATAGCACAGCTGATAAATCACTGATAAACATAGGGGCATCATAACTTTAAAATGGCTGCATTTGATTGGCTGAGGTTCTCTTTGGGTGTTTTTTTTTTCAATGAATAATTTTCAATACCCTTGTTAATCATTTTATGTGAAAAAAAAACCACCTCGTTTTGTTTTTCGTCAAAAGATATTCCGTATACCTCAGGGAGCTTCTTTTCCGGTTTCAGGCAGTTTAACACGACATTGTAGGTCGACATCAATTAATCGCCATTATCTCTGCATAATATCTCTCTCAGCTCGATTGACACAAATGACCACCTCCTTGTATTGAAAATAGCCTTTAAGTGAAATTTTTCTTTCTTAAGGTTTATACTAATCGTAAGCTGTGATTCTGCACCGTGAGACCGTCTCATTCCGAGCGCATTCCAATTTTCAATTGGCATTTTCTGGCATTCAGTTTTTCATTTGATGTTTTTTGAAATCAGATTGGGATTTCCGTTATTTGAAAACTTCCGATGGAAACTCTATCCAATTTTAGCTTCCTTTGTGAGGTATCAATCTGGCTCTGTCGTATTGTTTGGCTCTGTCAGATTTTGGGCGCCGTAAGACTCCGTCCGACTTTCGACGTTGCCCGCTCATCAATGAATTTAATTCAAGGTGAAGTTCGATTTTGGAAAACTGATTTTGTCAAAGGACAATTTTGCTCCTGTTTTAGAAACTATACAATATCAGGAAGTATCTGTTGGGTTTTGAGATTCAAAACAATAACCTATCCTGCCTCTGAAAACTGTCCTCAAATGTGCTTACAATTAAACCGCGGATGCCACTAGATTGAGAGGAACGCGGAAACCTTTTTTTTCTGCTTTGCAGAAGTTTTAAGTTTTCTTCACTAAAATTACTTTTTTCTGAACCCAATCTTTCAACGTTGTTCTGAAGCGGAAGAAAACCAAAGAAGAGGTTCCTCTGAGGGATGGGAAATATATTTCGACCAAAAGAAGTGGAACGAGTTAGTTTTTGTGGATGAAAATGATTGACTATTTAACTCCCCATGAGTGACCGAGGCAGAATTTTTCCTTACAATATCAATACAATATCAAGCACACAAAAAATTAGAGTAAAGAAAATCAATTTTTTTTAGAGGGCACGGAAACGAATGCTGCAATCTGATTGGTTCTTTACCCGGTCAGTATTTTCCTATCTCTGCCCACAGGCAACGGTAAAGCGTTCGTGAGTCGCCGAGTACATCCCTTCATTCGTTGCTATTTTTCATAAATATATCTCGTTTTACCGGCTGGGCAGTATTTTTAAGCAAAGAAGTCGGTCACTACCTCAAGCCAATAAATAACTTATTAATCCTCTCTTTTCTCTCTCTCAAGTCACTTTGGTCGACTGAAAAATTTTCGTTTCAGAATTACTTTTTTGTATAAGCAATAATGTCATTACGTCGGTTGACAGGCGGCCTAAAAGCCGTCTGCAATTAATTTTAATTGTTCACAAAAAGCACCTAGAGGAGTTAAAACGTGAGGTATTTGGCTACAGTTGAACTAATCGATGGAACTTTCATTCATTTAATATCTGAATTTTCTCAAACAATTTGTTCGTTGTGAAAAGGCGAGCGAGTTTTAATTTCAGTTCTGCAACAAATATACGCTCTCGGTGAGTCTTTTCAAGTCCGTTCAATTTGGACATTTGTATCGTAAACTGCACAACAGAAACTTAAGGAATTAAATGAGAAAAGGCCGCGTAAAATTCCCTTATGTCTCGTTGGAGTATATCATCCGAATTTAGTTTTTGCGGAGGAAAGACCAGATTTTCACACGCCATTGCAGCAAACAAACGAGCAAACTCTCACAACTTCAAAACAAAAAATTTGAATTTACTTACAATTACTTTCCTCGCCGATTACTTAATGAACAAAGGTAAATCTTCGTACATAAATTAATCGTCGATGAGAGTGAATAATACTTTCCGTAAGATCATTAACTATTTTTGAAGAAAACATTGTGGTGATAGTCCCTGCCAAACTAGTTTCGTTGTTTTTTAAAAATTTACATGGGCTTTTTTCTTTTTTTACGCGCTCTCTAATTGACAGGTGTCACATTGTGACAGATACTTGTATAATAACGTTTTAAAGTTTGTTTGGAAGCCTTTTGAATCACTTTTATCATTACGCAAATGAAAATGTTCTCTTAAATTTTCGTCACCTCTATTTTAACTACCATTTACTCGCTCAAAAACTGTTCAGTTTATGGAAGATTTTGCCGTATTTACAGCCCTAAATCATTCGGGTTCTTTCGGAATGAATTTCGTCAAGTTTAAAAAAAATAAATATGTTATTTACCGGCTAAGGGTCGATCCATAGGGTGAAAAACTGTGACCTCGGCCTTGAAGACCTCGGTCACAGTTTTTCATCATACGGACCTCCCAGCCGGCAAATAACATATATATTTGGGGATTATTAGTAGATCCAATACTAAATTCTCTGAACTAACATAATTAGAACTATATGGCAGACAGCAAGGAGAATAACTAATGAGATCTTGGGAGTTAAAGGGTTAAACAAAAGTTGTTTAAAAAAACGCACAACTATCTACTCGTCAGGAATAAATAGAATTTTCAGAAAAGCTCCTCCAAATTAAAGCAATTAAAGCAAGTCGAGAAAATTCGGAGAAATCTTATAGAGTTATTTCAGAGATAAACGGACCTCACTTCGAATTAGTGTCCAGGAAATGTTACTGTAAAAAATACTCTTAATTTGAGTGGCTAACCTGCAATAGCTGAGTGCATGATGAAATGTTTTCGCACGAAAAGCGAATACATATATCTATATAACTTGATTTAGAGCTCTTCTTGTAACCAGAGTAATGGCGTGGCTGATAAAAAAAGATCAATTAATTTTTCTCGGTAATGAGCCCTTACTTCATCAATCATTCAGCGGCGAGGCCTTACCTCAACAGTCCTCGAAATCTAGAAAGAACTTTCTGAGACCGTTCACAAATTTTCGACAGATTTTCCCTTAGCACAAGCATAGATTTATCCAATCCTCAAAGCGGAGCTTTATGTTGCACCTAAGTTGCTTAGTGCTTCCAGGTTACGCATTCAATAGCGCATGCACATTTCCTTTTCTCTTTCCCTTCTATTAACGTTGTGGCTAGATTTGAGCCCCTAATACAGTTGTTCCTAATCTAGCAACTTTTACAAACGGAATTTCGGTCATGCGTCAGACCAAATTTACTCGGTTTCATGGGTTATTATTTTTATTATCATTTTTTGCATGTATGGATAGGGTTCCGCTGCGCGCTGTAGCTGTCTCTCAAGGTATAGATTTCTAAACAGTCGGTCACTCTCGACGATAACAACAACTATTATTACTACTACATAACTGAGTCTTTATATACATTCACAAAAGAACTATCTCAATAGTATTACGTAATAATTACCTGACTTGATGAAATGTTTTAGAAAGTTCTATGGTACGCATGTCAGTATGATTATGCAGTCTGGTGATTTCCAGAAGCTTCTATTTACAATAACAATTATTCATAACAAATGTTATTCTCTAAATCGATTGACGATGCCTCGCATTATGTCCACGAGAGTGCGACGAATGGGTCCCATCTTCCAGCAGTATATAACAGGGTTCAAAGACGAGTTAAGGAAAAGCAAAGTCGTTGTATAGAGTGAAGCTTTGTAGAAAGAGATTGGACTTAAAAGGCGAACCAGGAATAAAAAAGAGAGAATATAGGAAGGCAAATAACAAATCAAGAACACAATACATACATAAAATGTTCCAAGAGCTGACTTTCGAAGCTTCAAAAAGTTTAGTAAGTCGCCATTTTGAACTCCCTGTTGTACTTCTTGGATTTGAAGGCCTTGAATCTGGTTTTTATGTCGCTTTAAGACAATATAAATCCTCCAGTAGAAAATAACCACTACAATGAGGCAGACAGTCATAATCACGAGCCCAATGACTTGTGAGCTGAAAAGCAATGGATCCCAAAAGACACTAGAAGAAATAATTGCGCTTAACAGCCATATCGATATCACCGCTGCAATGACGCGCTTGTGAGTTACAAGTTCTTGATATCTGAGATGAAGATAAACGGCCAAGAACCTGTCCACACTAATGGTTACAACATTCAAGAGCGAGGATATACAAAAGAAAGTGATAACGACGGACCATCCCTTATAGGAAATACAACCGATACGTTTTTGATTTAACCGGCTGACCAAAGTAGAAATGTAGAGCGGTTGGACCAACAAACCAACGCCAACATCGGAGGCAGCCAGGCTCAGTAATAATGATCTCATAGGTTTTGGAAACAACGCGGTTTTCCTTATCGCATGGATGGTAACAATGTTCAAAATGATGGTTGTATAACACAAAAAGCTGTTGAAGAGACAATTAGCGACAAGTGCTGGACGAAAATCTTTAACATTCGCAGAGGTTCCAGAGAAAAACTCGTTAAAAAGGTTGCAAATGTTTTCCTCCATGAGAGCTGAGCGTTAAAACTACTGTGGCTCTAATATTTTCCAATTCTAACACGGAAAATTTTAAGTCATGTGTAGCTGTCAATCACAAGCATATAACACAATCGAAGCCAGTTGTATGTACAGTCAAGATGTCTTCAACTGACATTTGAATTTTTTAAAAAGGCATCGAGTATCGCTTTAACTCGGCGTTGGTTAGAACTAAAAAATTATTTGTTTAATACTTCAAAGCATTTTAACTAAACATGGGATCTATACCTGAAAAAAGGTTATTTGAAGGAAAGCTGTCATCAACATATTTTTTATTATCTATCAAAATGAATATACGAAACATTATAGTCAGTTAAATTAAAGAGCGCTTGACATATCCTTCTTTATTATTAAATTCGTCTGAATACACTGAATACATCTTCAGAGATCGAGTATTTTATGTTTGGTGAGGAGTGGTAGAGATCCAAATAATTATTACGAAGAAAGTACGCACTCGTTTGTGGCAGATCTAGGAGGTAATCAGAATGTTCAGCAAACTTACTACACTTAGATAATACCGGCATATATTTCAGTCGTTTTAGAGTAGCTTGAGAATATTTCCCGGGAGTGCATTTTTACAGATAGCTCTCCCCCCTACTGACGACCGCGTTCGGCTCTCACTTTGACCACCTCCTCACAAGTCACGGATCCACTTCAGTTCATAAACAGCTGCGCTTAGCTCAGAAAAAGTTTACCAATGGCCCTGTAATATTTTTACATATTTCAACCGAAAATTTTTTTCAAACAATAATTCTGCATTAAGCGCTTAAACAAAAAGAATACAGGAAGTTTGACTATTGTTCATTTTGACGGCAGATGTAAATTAAAAATGAGGGCTGGCTTTTTTGGGACATCACTATATGTAAACATGTAAATTAAGTGTGAAAATTGCAATATTGTATTATAATATGAAAGACTTTAGCCTGTTAGGGTCAGAAAGTAAAGAAGGAATGAAAAAAAACGAATCGGCAAATAACAGGGCTATAATTTTATTTCGTCCAGAGGTAAAGAGTAGTTTGCAAATGAGCGGTGTCAAAAACAGTCAGGAATTATAGTAGTTTCACTTTACATCGTAAAGTGATTCGTCAAGAGTTTCGCTCCATCTGTCAGCTACTCCAAAGCAATTAGAGCCAGTCGCGACTTTACTAATAAATAAACAAAATGACTTTCCTTAATTTTTCTCTCTAAATAGTCTGCTGGTTAAAGTTTGTCCACTATTGCAAATAGAGAATCTTGAATTCAAGTTGTATTGAAAAAAGCAGAACCCTAAAAACTCAGCGCACACGAATAATCCATCTGAGTCTTATGCCATTATACTCAACAAAAAATGTTAAGTGGTGCTATGTATTATGCAACCATCTATATATGCAATCATATGAATGCAGACGACTAGGTGATCGACTTCGAGAACACCTTCACGACAAAGAAAGAAATGACAAGGACGCATCCAAACCAGTCGCTAAACACTTTAATCTCCCCAATTATTCTATACAGCATATGGTAGTTTCCGGCCTTTCCCTAAATTTAGACAGTTCGTAAAGCCGCAAAACACTAGAACAAAAATTTATCTTCCAAATTGGCACTCTTAATTTCCACGGTATTAATAAGCGCTTTTGATTCACCTAATTTATTCTTGTTTTCTCGTCACCATATTCCCATTAATAGCGTAACCCAATTTTTTGCATATAAACCCACACACAATCCACAACTCCTCCGATCGCTCTGACGAAGGGCTAACGCTCGAAACGTTAGCCTTTACACTCTTCACGGTGACCAATTTACATTTTCAACTCAGTTGTTAACACTGAACTACCTATATATACATGCATATATATATATATAAATATGAAGGTAGAGTCTACCTTGGCATAAAGTGCCCAATGCTGTTGTAGCAGAGCTGGGTATATATAAGTGAAAGAATCAAAGAGGACGCATCAATTCTCCGTTACTCTGAGTTTCGCGCCTAAGCGCTCGTCAGACAGAACTTTCACATAGTTCATTTCACATAGTTTCAATTTTACAGAATGTAAAAATTTAATGTGAATTAAGAAATTAAATTATCTCTAAATGGTTAAAAAAAAAAGGTTTCTTTAAGCAGTGTTTGAATTCTGTCAACGTCGTCTTCTACTTGGGTGACAGGACCTAATAATTGTTCTTTGCCCTTTTCTGGGTGTGTACAGGGGGATCTGAGGAATCTGGGCATTCCTTGTCGATCGATTAGTGACAACTGACTTCAGCGAGAATCTACATAAGAGCGTTAACTTTATGCATCACTAATTTTTTCTTATTATGGCAAAGAGAACTAAAGTGGGTCTAAGCGCGTGATTCGCAATCCGGGTGTCTGTGGTCTGACTTTACCCAACCTCCTCCTGGGAGCGAGGTTGGAGTCGGACGTCATTCTTTGTACTTAGCCAACTAATCTTTCGCCGACTGGAGTTATTAAGAAGCTACGTCATGTAATCTGAGGTCTCTTTACCTCGAAAGGGTATTGTTAAACAAACACTAAAAAAAGTTCCAATATAACAAAAAAAAAAACGAGGATAGCCGAGAACAGCGGTGATTGGCGCAGGGAACAATTTAAAAGCAGGTGAAATTGAGGACTAAAACGAATTCTAAACGGACTAACTGTCTGAGTGAAAGGCGTAGAGATCCTTGTATTTCGTGTAATTTGCATTTGTATAAAATGTATAACCTTCTCTCTTTGCCTAGCTAAATAAGTGTCCGGGTTACTATTGACAAGGTTGAGACTTTTATTCGAACGGACAACCATCAAGTCTAGTCGACTTCGTATCATTCTTTATATCAGGGACCGCACAACTGAATTCTGGAAGCCTATATGTGATCGCAAATAAGTAACGGCTTTATTCAAAGAGGGTTATACTTAACTGTAGTAAAACACTGATGAACTCGTGGCCCTTATTACATAATAAAGCGACCTAAAAATCGGTTTTGAATTTAATTCACAAGCCATACACTTCACAAGCCTACTGATAATTCATTATCCTATTGACAATTAAAAATACATGCATCAAATGATGACATAACTCAAGTAGCGAGGAAGCTTTCTCGTCATTTACAAAGTTTTCTTACAAAATGCGCTTAAAACTAACGAATGACACTTTTTTATGCTTGACTTTATAGTACCTCACTGCACAGTTTTCCTAGCCGTTAAAGTTAATCCTCTCTCAGTTTTCCTTACTCACTTTGGGCAGATCAAGTCTAATTTGACGATGGCCGAGGCTCTCATCCCATGCACTGTCAATTGGCATCAGAAACGAACCCAATCAATGCGTTACGGTATAATCTAACCGACGGAAAAACACTTCAATCCAACAGACCCAACTACTTTATTTGACGAGTGATTTCTTAATAAGGAGTGACTCTTAGAAGCAGTTTAGTACTTATCCTCCATAAACTTACTTAAGCCCACAACAGTCTATATCTTAGCTCGCCACTGAGCAGAACTCACAGTTTCCTCCAACGTTTCTTCAAATTAGCTAAGTATCTTCCACTGTAGCTCTCTCTCACGGTAAAGCTTTCTCAAGAGTCGGCCACTGCCGACAGCAACAACTACTACCACCACTACACGACTAGGTCTTTTTATACATTCACAAAGTGTTCTGGAACATTCCAGAAGCTTTCAAAAGAACTATTTTAGTGGTATTACGTAACAATTACGTGACTTGGTCAAATGTTCTAGAAAGTTCTATGGTACGCATGTCAGCATAATTAAGCAGTCTGGAGATTTCTAGCAGCTTATATTTACAACAACAGTTCATCATAACAAATGCTATTGCCTGAAACGATTGACGATGCCTCGTATTATGTCCACGAGAGTGCGACGAATGGGTCCCATCTTCCAGCAGTATATAACAGGGTTCAAAGACGAGTTGAGGAAAAACAAAGTCGTTGTATGGGGCCAAGCTTTGTAGTAAGAGATTGAACTTAAAAGGCGAGCCGAGAATAAAAAAGAGAGAATACAAGAAGGCAAATAACAAATCAAGAACACAACACATACATAAAATGTTCCAAGAGCTGACTTTCTAAGCTTCAAAAAGTTTGATAAGTCGCCATTTTGAACTCCCTGTTGTACTTCTTGGATTTGAAGTTCTCCCGTCTGGTTTTTGTGTCGCTTTAAGACTATATAAATCCTCCAGTAGACAATTACTACCAGAATGAGGCAACCAGTTATAATCATGAGCCCTATGACCAGCAAGATGATAAACAATGGATCCCAAAAGACATTAGAAGAAATAATTACGCTCAACAGCCATATTGATATCACGGCGGCAATTACGCGCTTGTGAGTGACACGTTCTTGATATCTGAGATGAAGATGAACAGCTAAGAACCTGTCCACACTTATGGCTACAACATTTAAGAACGAGGATATACAAAAGAAATTGATAACGACGGACAATCCCTTGTCGTAAATGCAGTCGATTTTTTTTTGTTTTAACCTGCTCACCAAGGTAGAAATGTAGAGTGGTTGGACCAACAAACCAACACCAACATCGGTGGCAGCTAGGCTCAGTAATAATGTTCTCAAAGGTTTTGGCAACAACGCGGTTTTCCTTGTCGCATGGATGGTAATAATGTTAAAAAAGATGTTTGTATAACACAAAAAGCCGTTGAAGACACAATTAGCGACAAGTGCCGAACGAAAATCTTCAAAATCCTCTGAGGTTCCATAAAGAGACTCGTTGAGAATGTCGCAAACTTTTTTCGCCATGAGAGCTGAGCGTTAAAACTATAGTGGCTCTGATATTTTCCGATATTTTAATGGGGAAAGTTTAAAGTCATATTTAGCTGTCAATCACAAGAATAGAACACAATCGAAGCCATTTGTACGTACAGTCAAAATGTCTTCAACTCTGTCATTTACATCTTTGAAAAAAGCATCGAGTATCGCTTTCACTCGGCGTTGGTTAGAACTAAAACAAATTATTTGTTTAATGCTGCAAGACATTTTAGCTAAAGAAGGGATGTATACCTGAAAAAAGCTAATTTAAAAGAGAGCTGTCATTAACATATTATCAAAATGAATAAGCGAAACATTATAGTCAGTCAAATTAAAGAGCGCCTGAAGTATTCTTCCCTATTAATAACTTCGTCTGAATCAAGGAAGACATCTTCAAAGACACAGTATTTTTACATAATTCAACCGAAAGAAATACAGATAAGCCATTTTATCAAACACTAGTTCTGCATAGAGTACCTAAACGGAAAGAATACAGGAAGCTTGGCTATTGTTTATGTTGACGGCTGTTGTGAATTAAAAATGAGGGCTGGTATTTTTTTAACATTAAGTGCCGCTCTCGCTAAGAGCGGTCCTCTCGACTTCCCGTCGGAAAAAAGTTTTCTTTTATTTTTGCCCATGAAATTTCTTTTTTTGCGTCGCCACAAGCCAAAAATTATTTTTGGCTAGACCACCTGTGTGGACAGCGATCGAAAGTGTAAATTTCACAGATCTTGTCCAGCGCAGCGACTGCAATGATAAAGCTCACGGAATTCTATCTCGCTACGAGTTACAAGGTGCCTTCAATTAGTTCACACAAAAAATATGGAAACTTCAGCTGAAATATTTAGAAATATTAGCCTTCTCTTCGACCTTTATTTGCATATCAAAACTCACCAATTTGTACGAAAGAATTCTCAAAATGCAGGCGTTAATCGGGCAAAAAAAGCATATCAGTGTATAGTTTATACAACAATGAGGTCATTGATTGCCTCAAATCCGCGGGTATATCTGTGGCTTTCATCCACCAACATCTTAAAAACAACGCAAACCCATGTGTTTGCTCAATTGCGCTCGTGTCGATGAGCATTTGCATAATTTTGAAACTCGACCCTTTTGACCGTTCAATCTTCGTTTGTTTATCCTCTACGTTGAGTATTTCAGGTTTTCATAACAACTGAATGGAGAATAGATGCCGAGTTGCCCTAAAACGTTGCGTAAACGTGATCGGTCATAACGCTTGCATGCTTGCGTGACTTACAAAATAAACAGAAGTTATCGGAAGGCGCCTTCTCGATAATTTTCGTTGAAATATATATCTGGTCATGAACTATGCACAGTGTGGAGAAGATCAAAGTTAAATAATAAAGTTTGGCACTCTAGTCATTACAGATATATCGCGTTACTTTAAAAGGACACACAAACAAGTTGAAATACGTTACAGTATTATTGACCAAAACAACACACATACACCCTGAAAGAATTCTTGCAGTTTCTCCCGAGATTTTTGCACACCTAACGCGACGAACGGAAGTCGAGAGGACCGCTCTTAGCGAGAGAGCGGCACTTAATACACGTAAATTAGAGGTGAAAATGCGATGTTATGTTTGAATATGAAAGACTTTAGCCTGTTAGGGTCAGTAAGTAAAGAAAGAAAAAAACAACAAATAGGCAAATGACAGGACTATAAATTTTTTTCGTCCAGAAGTGAAAAGAAGTCTGCAAATGCGCGGTGTCATGGATCGTACTAATTTCGCTTTACATCGTAAAGTGATTGGTCAAGAGTTTTGCTCCATCCGTCAACTACTCGGAAGCAAATTAAAGCCAATTGCCACTTTATTCATAAATAAACAAAATTATTTCCTTAGTTTTTCTCTCTAAATAACCTGCTGATTAAAGTTTGTCCACTATTGCAAATAGAGAATGTTGAATTCAGGTTGTATTGAAAAAAGCAGAACCCTAAATATTGTGCGCATAAGAATACTCCACGTGAATCATGTGCCATTATGCCAGACGAAAACTTTCATTTGGTGCTATAAATAATGGAATCATCTGTATGTGCCATCATATGAATGTAAATGGACAGAACTTCCATGTGTCGCTGTTTGCAATGAGGTGAGAAGGGATTCCTACCTTTACGCCCGTGAATAAGACCCACTCAAATGAAAGGGTCTGGGTGGTTCTAGATTAATGTGGTTGACAATTTAGTGTTTGACAATTTAAATGAAAGCTACAGCGTAGTATTTTAATGTGGTACAGTTTATCGTGCAGCATAAGGTGGTTCCGGCTTGGATAACATCCTGTATTTTGACTGTTCGAACGAAAGCTATTTCGCAGTTCTTCCATGTGCACTGTTTATCAAGCACCATGAAGTACTTCTAAAGTCTGTGGATCAAACACTAGCGTTTGACCATTCAAATGAAAGCCACGGAGAAGTATTTTCATGTGTTTCAGTTCATTATATTCCTCAGATGGTTTTCACCACAAAACTTTGAGTTTAGCGGGCCGCACAGTGATATACAGGCCGCTAAATCTATCAATAATAGCCCACGTACAAACTGAGAGATAACTAATGAAATGCTAGTTATCTAGAACGGGGCACAACGGTTTAGCTCTTATTTTTGTGGACGAAACAGTTACGCGTTACAATTTTTTGTCAGAAATACTTTATAAATGCACTCAAAATTGTTTCACGAATTTATGCAAATTAAAATTTGTCTCATTTCTCCCTTTCATCCTATTTTTCTTTCAGGAAGGACTAAGTTCTCATCTTTATTTGTCTCATTTCTCCCTTTCATTCTCTTTTTCTTTCAGGAAGGACTGAGCTCTCATCTTTATTTGTCTCATTTCTCCCTTTGATCCTCTTTTTCTTTCAGGAAGGACTAAGTTCTCATCTTCATTTGTCTCGTTTCTCCCTTTGATCCTCTTTTTCTTTCAGGAAGGACTAAGTTCTCATCTTCATTTGTCTCACTTCTCCCTTTCATTCTCTTTTTCTTTCAGGAAGGACTAAGTTCTCATCTTCATTTCCACAAATTTTAAGGAGAAGTTATGTTTAAATGGAACCCAGCCAATACCACTGTGAGTTTTGTGTTCCCCATGAACTGCCCGTTCAAATTGGAGTTGTGACAGTCGTTAAACCACTATCCTCAGTCAGGTCATTTGAGCAGCTTTTCGGTGAAGGGGCGAATACTTGTTGATGGGGGCGAACTGGAAGGCGGCGAACTTGCAATAGAGCGACATCTCTGTAAATCACACCGTCAACTGAACAGTATGGAGTAATCGTGATATAATAACGGCGCACTTACGAGGTCTGTCAATAACAGAAAGAGTTAAGGCTTGCACTTTCAAGGAAGTCATCATTATGCTTGAGCAGCAAGCTTTCCGATTTTTTCCTCGGGGGGGAGGGGGGAGGGGGGACAGGACAAGTCTCTTTGCAACTACAATGACTTGAAATAAAATGACGAGGCTTGTTAGGAAAAGAAAAAATGTGACGAAAATTTTTTTCTCTCTTTCCTTACCTCAGGTTTTTTCAGTATGATATTGAAGTAAACAGCTGTTGTCTTTCCTTCTAATCTCTCAAGCGTTTCCAATAACGATGCCGTTCGTTTTCGTTAATTTGTATACCGCACATGAAGATTTGACGTATAGTAAAGATAATATAAGCGCAAGCAATTATTCAATCAACGCAAATGGCATTGTCAGTAGCTCTAGAATGAAAAGAAAATACAACAGCTGGCAACTTCGAATTCATTCGTCGAGCGTGACAGAGAACTGGTAGGAGTAAGGTCTCTTCACTGCACTCAAAGTACATCGCCTCATTATTTTATCGAGAGAACAGAGATTCTGTCCTGTAATTCTCTACATAAAGAGATGTACCTTCAAGTTAGTGTCCACGAAATGTAATATCAAAAAGTACTCTTAATTCGCTAAGTCATTGATAGGAGAAACTATTTTCAAATTTAGTACAATAGTTAAGAGTATATTAAAAATTAATCCAAAGAAATGCAGATATAACTTATTCAATTCAACTGATTTCAGAGCTCTCTTCGTTAACAGTGTAATAGCACAACTGTTAAATCAATGATAAACATAGGGGCATCATAACCTTCAAATGGCTGCATTTGATTGGCTGAAGTTCTCTTTGGTGGTTTTTTTTTTTTTTTTTTTTGATAAATAATTTTTAATATCGTTGTTAATCATTTTATATGAAAAAAACCGCCTCGTTCTGTTTTTCGTTGAAAGATATTCCGTATACCTCAGAGGAGCTTCTTCTTTGGCTTCAGGCAGTTTAACACGACATTGGGGGTCGACATTAATTAATCACCATTATCTGTCCATAACTTCTCTCTCAGCTCGATTGACACAAATGACCACCTCCTTATATCAAAAATAGCCTTCAAGTGAAATGTTTCCTTTCGAGCGATAATCTTTGTTCCAACACACTTACTAAGCAAGGAGTTGAACGCTAGATCATCCTGACTGAATCGAACTGTAAAATATTGCAATAGTAACAGTATATTACACAGCTATCATGTTAAACGTCGTCACAATCTATGGAATTGCAAAAACGTCTGCGTTGCCGAAACCTTTAAAAAATTGCTGCTGAGTGTTGCGTTATCTGATGTTGGTGTTGGTTTGATGGTGGAGCCCTTTTTTGTTTCATTTTTTATCAAATGGTTACAGCTACATAATCCAGACTACATCTTCTACTTAGGATTCGTGTTTGTCATCGGGTTGTTTTCCATTACTTCGTTCTTCAATATCATGGCCATTAGCGTGGACAGACTCTTGGCAGTTTAATTTTATCTTAGATACCAAGCACTTGGGACTCACCAGCGGGTTGTTGGAGTTGTCATTTTTATATGGAAATTTGGTGTATTTTCAACCTTAACACTATTCCTTGTTCCTTATGCTGTGCTCACGGGAATCATGTCTGGCATTAGAATCTTTTGCCTTCTCGTCATTACAGCGATCTATTGCAAGATCTTTTTTATTATACGATGCCACAAAAGGCAAATTCAGCAAGTACGAGAACTAGAGGCACAAACTAGACAAAATAGCGAGATGAGGAACTTGGCAACCATCATGAAAACTGCTGTCGACGTTTTATACGTTTATTTTGCGTTTTTGGTTTCATATTTCTCTCGCTTTATCCTTTTGGCTGCCCGTGTAATTACCGGCCCCAATATTGTAACAACTGGTTTTTCACTTTACACACATACGCTTATGTTCTTCAATTCAACACTAAACCCTGTTATTTACGGCTGAAGGATAAGACAAATTCCGACACCCTATAGTGGACACACTACGAAAAGTAAACACCAATCGTGAGTTGTGATTCAAGACCGTGAGAGCGATATTCATTCTGCAGTCTACCGTCTTCTTCCAAGCGCATTCCAATTTTCAATTGGCATTTTCTGGCATTCAGTTTTTCATTTGATGTTTGTTGAAATCAGATTCTGATTTCCGTTACTTGAAAACTTCCGATTTAGGGCTCCGTTTTATTTCGTCTCTGTCAGATTTCTGAAACCTGTAAGACTCTGTCCCACTTAAGACGTTGTCGGCTCATCAATGACAATTAATTCAAGGTGAGGTTCGACTTTAGAAAACTGATTTTGTCAAAGGGGGGTTATGCTACTGTTTTAGAATCCGTACAATATCATGAAGTATTTATTGAGTTCTGAGATTCAAAACAATAACCTATCCTGCTTCTGAAAACTTTCTTCAAATGTGCTTACAATTAAACCGTGGACGCCACCAGTTTGAAAGCAACGCTCTTGGTTTTGAACGCGCTTGGTTTTGCGGAAGGTTCAAGTTTTCTTTAATTATCTTACTTTTTCTGAACTCAATCTTTCAACGTTGTTCTGAAGCAGAAGAAAACCTGAAGAGAGGTTCTTCTGAGAGATGGGAAATTTATGTCGATTTAAAGGAGAACGAGGTTGTTTTTTTTTCGCAATCTTTGTGGGTGAAAATGACCAAACAAAAGTGTTGAAATAAGTTGATAAAAACTGAAAAAGAACGCACATTCATCTACCTATCATGAATAGATAGAATGTTCGGAAGAGCACATCCAAATTAAAGCAGTTATGTTGTATTTCACATCGAGAAAATTCGGAGAAATCGTATAAAGCCATCTCGTAGATAAACGGACCTTACTTCGAATTAGTTTCCAAGAAATTTTACGGTAAAAAATACCCTTAATTTGAATAGAGATTTTCCCATAGTATAAAATATAGATTTAGCCAATCCTAAAGGCAAAGCTCCATGTTGCACCTAAGTTTCCAAATGCTTCCAAGTTACGCATACAACATCGCATTCCCATTTCCTTTTCACATGTTAGACTAAATGCTCTCGGTTTCATGGGTTATTATTTTTATTATCACATTTTTTATGTATGTATGTATGTATGTATATATATATATATATATATATATAGATACACACACATGTTCGTTTTTTGTACGACAAATTTTCATCATGCACTCAACTATTGCGCCAAATTTGAAACAAGTTCCGCGTATCGATAAGAAGCAGTTTAGCTACTTAAATTAAGAGTACTTTTTACAATAACATTTCTTAGACACTAATTCGAAGTGAGGTCCGTTTATGAATGGCTTTATAATTGCTTCATGATGAGTAGATGGTCGTGTGGTTTTTTTTCAGTTCTTATCAACTCATTTTAACACTTTTGTTTAATCATTTTCATTTTAGCGGATAAAACTGCTAAAAACGCAGTTTCCACTTAAAATCGAATGGAAATTTTCAAACTCGGAGATTTTGGGGTAACTCTTGAGCAATATTTCACAGTTTGATTCAGCCATGATGATCTAGCGTTCAACTGCTTGCTCAGTAAGTGTTTTGGGACAAAGATTATCGCTCGAAAGAAAAAATTTCACTTAAAGGCTATTTTCAATACAAGGACTCCTTGTATTGAAAATAGCCTTTAAGTGACCGGGTGGTCATTTGTTTCAATCGAGGCGAGAGAGATATTATATAGACGATTAACTTGTATCGACTCACAATGTCGTGTTAAACTGCCTGAAACCAAAGGAGACGCTCCTCAGCGGTAAACGGAATATATTTCGCCGAAAAAAAGAACGAGATGGTTTTTTTAATAAAATGATTAAAAAATATATTAAAAATTATTTATTAAAAAAGAAACATCCAAAGAGAACCTCAGCCAATCAAATGTAACCATTTGGAAATTATGATACCCCTAAGTTGGTCGTTAATTTATCAGCTGTGCTATTACAGTGTTAAAAAAACGAACTCTGAAATCAGTTGAATCGAATGAGTTATACCTGCTTTTCTTTAGACTAAGTTTTTAATGTACTCTTTACTATTGTACTTAATTCAAAAACAGTTCCTCCTATCAATGACGCGGTGCAGCTTAGCGAATTAAGAGTACTTTTTAATATTAAATTTTGTGGACACTAACTCGAAGGTAGATCTTTTTATCCAGAAAATCACAGGATAGAATGTATTCGAAATTTCTCTAGATAAAACATCGAGGCAATGTAATTTGAGTGCAGTTAAGAGACCGTGAAATATTTCCCTTACTCGTACTGGTTTTGTAACACGCTCGACGTATGAATTCAAAGTTGACAGCTGTTGTATTTTCTTTTCATTCTACTGACAATGCCATTTGTGTTTATTTGAATAATTGCATGCACTTATATCATTTTAGGTATTCGTCAAATCTTCACGTGCGGTATCCAAATTAACGAAAACGGCATCGTTATTAGAAACGAGGGATTAGCAGGAAAAGACAATAGCTGTTTACTTAAATATCATAAAAAGAAAAATCTGAGATAAGGGGGGAGAGAAAAAAACTTTTCGTCGTGTTTTCTATTCTTAAGAAGACTTGTCCTGTCCCCCCCCCCTCAGCCCGATAAAAATTCGGAAAGCTTGCTATAAAAGCATAGTGATGACTTCCTTGAAAGTGGAAGCCTTAACTCTTTCTGTTGTCGGCAGACCTCGTGAGAGCGCGGTTACTATTTCACGATAACTAGATACCATTGAGTTGACGGTGTGATTTACAGAGGTGTCGCTCCATTGGATGTTCGCCGCCTTCCAGTTCGCCCCCATCGACAAGAATTCGCCCCTTCACCAAAACGCTACCCAAATGACCCGACTGGGGAATGGTGGTTTAACGGTTGTCACTGCTCAAATTTGAACCGCCAGTTCATGGTGAACACAAAGCTTACAGTGGTATTGGCTGGGTTAGATTTAAACGCAACCTCTCCTTAAAGTTTGTGGAAATGAAGATGAGAGCTCAGTCGTTTCTCAAAGAAAAAGTGGATAAAAGGGAGAAATGAGACAAATTTCATTTTGCACAAAGTTTTGAAAAAATTTTGATCGCATTAATAAAATATTCCTTACAAAAAGTTGAAACGCGTAGCTGTTTCGTCCACAAACGTAAGAGCTAAACCGTTATGCCCCTTGGTTAGTACGTGGTCTATGATTGGTCAATTTAGCGGGCTGTATATCACTGTACGGTTCGCTAAACTCAAAAGTTTGTGGTTAAAACCACCTTAAAGAATATAATGAAGTGAAACACATAAAAATACTTCGCGGTGGCTTTCATTTGAATGGTAAAAACCCAGCGTTTTATCCACAGACTTTAAAACTACTTCGTGGTGCTTGATAAACAGTGCATATGGAAGTACTGCTGAATAGCTTTCATTCGAACAGTCATACAGGATGTTCTCCAAGCCAGAACCACCTTGTACCGCATGTAAACTGTACCTCAGTAACGTATTACGTTCTAGCTTTCATTTAAATGGTCAAACTCTAAATTGTCATCCATACTAAGCTTGAACCACCTTGGACAGTATAATAAAAAAACCCAGCACCTTTCAAAGAATGGGTCTTATTCACGGGCGTAAAGGTAGGAATCCCTTCTCACCTCATTACAAACAGTGCCATATGGAAGTTCTGTCCATTTACATTCATATGACGGCGCGTATAGATGATTCCATTATATATAGCACCACATAAAAGTTTTCGTCTGACATAATGGCACAAGATTCACGTGGAGTATTCTTATGCGCACAATTTTTAGGGTTCTGCTTTTTTCAATACAACCTGAATTCAAAAATTCTCTATTTACAATAGTGGACAAACTTTAACCAGCAGATTATTTAGAGAGAAAAATTAAGGAAAATCATTTTGTTTATTTATTTGTAAAGTAGCAACTGGCTTTAATTTGCTTCGGAGTAGTTGACAGATGGAGCAAAACTCTTGACCAATCACTTTACGATGTAAAGCGAAACTATTACGATCCATGACACCGCTCATTTGCAGACTTCTTTTCACGTCTGGACGAAATAAATTTATAGTCCTGTCATTTGCCTATTGGTTGTTTTTTATTATTTCTTTACTTACTTACCCTAAAAAACCTTTCAGAAAAAAAAATGGATACGTATCCCCTGAACCAGTGCGGTGCCACTTGTAGACTCCAACCGAGAGATGAGTTTAAAAAATATACAATTTATTCCACATTCACAATCAAACAAGTAAATTGAACGCATCCGATTACGTTGAAGACGAAGGTGAAAATGATGTAAATGATGTAATGATGAGATGATGGTTCGACTGAAAAAAAAAAAATTACGACTACAAATTATAATAGATCTAAGAAAAATTGACAAACTAAATGAAAACAAAAAAAAGACTAACGACTTACAGATATTTCCTCCTATTGATGTGAACGGGTCGAGTAAAATTAACGATGATTTGAAAACAAGATCTTGCCGTGACGAAAGCCAACACTGAATATAATAAACTGAAAAACTTAAAGGCGTAATCAAAAGAGTCACATGAAGATTAAGGTTAAAATTTAAATCGAGAGTAACGCACTTACGTGACCGGTCACGCACGTTTGAATCTTACACCACCTACCCTTCGGGCTCTTAAGTCCTTTAAAGTATGCAATCACAAAATGAGAAAAAGATGAATAACAGTTTATGTTCACGCTGCAGCAAAATTTATATGAGAGAGGAATTTGTTTCTAATATTAGAAAGACTTAAGAGTGCTAATGAGAACTTGTGAAAGTGAGATGAAATATTGTAGTGGACCTTAAAAGAATGCGAGAAGCGTGCGAGAAATATTTAATTTTTATGTAAATAAACACGTTGAATAGGCACTTCCGGCTTCAAGCTTGCACAGAGTTATGGGCCAGGGGACTCCCCTGTCATTTTCACTAGCGACTAAATACAGGAATGGCTCCGATCTGTGATTGGATGATAAAAATAGTACAAGTTAATAAGTTAAGTTAAATCTTAACTCCTTGCTCGTGAGTATTGATAACCGCGTGTCTTGAGGCGGAACAATGAAATATCAATGTGAAAACACCGATGTGTCAAACAAGAAATGGCTACTTACATAACGAAGAGAAGGCAGAGTCTCTCTTGTTCAGCGAGTTCGTTCAACGAGTTCGTTCAGCGACATTCCGGCGATGAAAAAGTTATCCGCTGCCAAGCTCCGCTGACAAAACTCATTAAGTCAGTTTAGGCGGACGACCAGAGACTGGAGCCATTCCTGTATTTCACCGCTGACAGGAATGGCTCAAACTCATGCGTATATTAATTTTTTTTCGTTGTGGCTAAATAATTTATGCAATAAGATAAAAAGTGAAAGAGCGATTTATTAGGTTCTTCTTATGTTGAAGTGAACGGTGCTTGCAAACGAAACCTTTTATTAATACAGGGCCATGTAGTTTCTAAGTTTTAAAATAATGCAGCAACTGAATGTCACGTTTGGAAAATCACGCAATGTTGCGTGACGCTGCGACCGATGTTTTAATTTACGGTATACCCTGCTGGAGAAATATGGCTTGGCCGAAATCGAGGGAGTTTTTTTCGTGGAGAACTGATTTTCTAGGTAATTGTTCACATGAAGGACAAATCCATTCATCGGGCTCTTCATCTGTTTTTGCACAACACCTAAAGGAAGAAAGTCGCGGATTAATTTTGCTTGGTAATTTCTAACAACTTCACTAAAACCTAAAAAAGGAAAAAACATTTCAAACATTTCCTGTTTGAGACATCGGTGTTTTCACTCGCATTGATATTTTATTGTTCCACTTCGAGACACGCGGTTAACAATACTCACGAGCAAGGAGTTAAGACATAACTTATTAACTTTTACTATTTTTATCATCCAATTACAGGTCGGAGCCATTCCTGTAGTTAGTCGCTAGTGTTATTTTCGCAACTCGCGATTGAGATTCTTCACTCTACAACAGGGCTTTCGAGTCTTTCTTGGTACTTTGTCAGTCTTGGTGACTTTCTTTGAAACATTTCCATGACGGATTGAGGAATCAAGGTCGTTAATCAGTCAAACGTGCCTTCCATTTCCGCGACAGAAGTAAGAACGCATCGTTGAATCAGATTTGTGGATGTAAGGTAAATACTTTTATTTGGAGTTTCTCAGTTAACAATTTCTCCTTCAAATGTCCTCAATCTGTCCTAATTTTCCCTGATGTCCGGCAATGTAAGACGTTCCTGCAGTTTAATGACGAGGATTACCAACTTTTATTCGATTCTGGCGTGTATTAATTGTATTGACGCTTAGTGTTACTTGTAAGCTAATTGAGCTGAGCTTACATGAACATGTTACAACTGTCGAATTCACAAAAATTCTCACTCAATACCTGGCATTTACATCTAAAAAAAATTAATTTGAGAGAGTTAAAAGGAATCTCCAAATTACCGATTTGATTTAGTGCAAGCGCGGATGATCGAAACACTTTCAGTTTCGTTTGCGTTTCATGTGCATGTGGAGCATGCGCACGAAAGTGTTTTGCGCTAGTTTTCATGTCTGGATTACGTGTTAATTAAAATTCCTTCCGTATTTAAGATGCATTTAATTAAAAAGCGATAAACATTTCCAGCTTATTTCATGCGTTTATGTTTATAATTTTATAGTTTGAGAGTAATTTTTTCTTTAGGATAGACTGCTTAGATTGTCCTTCCAAACTGTACTGTTATACTGATTTCCTTGTTAAATGTTGAGACAAATTGATTTTTCTTCAAATGCCGGCAAGTGATTTATTGGAAGCGTCCTTTCAATTAACTACATTCAATTTTTAGGAGTCCAACTCATCAACTGGTAATGATTGATTGGTATCTGAGTAAAGTTTTACCTTTTGTCATCTTCTAATAAATATAATTTATGATCAATCAATGATCACATCAGAACTGGTTTAGTTCTGCATGTGGCAGCACGCATCCAAGTATGTGTCTGTTTATAATTTATGTTATCATATAGCGAGGTAGGCTTGGGGTAAATAAAAAGTTCTGATTGGTTCTTACTTGGTCAGGATTTTGCCACCTAGATCATCATCGCACCATACAGACAATCATAAAACATGTAAATTCAAAGCAAACTAGTTTAGTCCAAGTGACATTAGTGCATGACAATTACCTTGCTTTCTTGAGCTGTACCGGGGAATATTGGTACCATGCCATTTCTATACTGCCACAACCTTGGGCCAATATTCCCCAGTAAATTAAAGCCCTGGTGCTTAACTGGTTAGTTAGAAGGTAGTACTGGCTTTTGTAAAAATAATCTACACGGTATATGTATCTCTGGCTATTTTAAATCCCAGTACAATTGATTTCCTTGTTACTCTAGTTTTTATTGAATTTGTTTGTACATGAAGACAGCCAGTAAGGATTATTTGATATTTAAAAAACAAGCCATCTTGATTATTAGGAGAATTAAAGTTAGCATCAAAGACAAATCAGTTTTGTGCACAAAACAATGTAAACATGAAATGAATACAAAACAATCAGTGAAATGTATGTCTTCACCTGTACCAAATTGAAATCCATTTCAACACACATCAGCATGCATAAATGTATATATTTCACTGCTTTTCCAGCATTAAGTGTAACAGTTGAACTAACCCTCACCTATGCGAATATGGGTGTCAGCTCAACAGTAAGAAATTGAATTAAAGAAATATATCTTTCATAAGTTTTGACCAGTAATCCCTATTTAAAAATCAGATGAGATAATTTTTCTTTGGTGTTGTATAATTTGTTTCTTATGAGAAAGAATTCAGCATAATCTCTCTCCTCTTGTGGAGACATGGTGGTCTTATGATTTAAGTGAGGTGGACTCAGGGTCAGGAGGTCTGCATTTGTAACCTGGCCTTTGCTGGACTCAGAGTCAAGAGGTCTGGGTTCCAGTCAATGTGTTGCATCCTTGTGCAAATCACTTTACTCTTACAGTGCCTGTCTCCAGCCAGGAGTACATGTATAAATGGGTAGCAAAAATTAGTTAGGGAAACCTGATAAAATGCTAGGGGGGTGAAAGGGCTGGATAATAATACTCCCAGTTGCTTCATGTGAGGAAGCCAGGATTAATTAAAGCTCAGGTCCTGGATGGACCACTGTTCATATCCAGACGCAACCTAACTACCTACCACCTCTTAGTTTAAATGATTTAAATTGTTGCTGTTACAAATTATATGAACTTGAAACACAAAGATGTTGATTTTTGCTCAAGTTATTTCAGTCAATTGGGAATGTCTTTAGTAAATCTTGAAATTTATTGTAATGAGAAGAGAATTACTGTTCATTTAAATATTAATGCTTGTTTTCTTCAGTATATATATCTTTTGTTCTTTTTACTGCTTTAAATATGCTATTAATATTAATTGCTTGTGATTTTGTGTCTATGTATCCCTCCCATTCTCAGAGGGGAAAAAATATTTAGTTTACAATTGGATAATATGTTGAGCTAATTTTTTTACCATTTGCAACCATCTTTTTTTCATGCCAGGATGACTTAAAACAGCAACTTTTTGTAAGAAGCATCCCCTTACAGTTGCTATGGCTAAAGAAAGAAGTCCAATTAAGGTCCCATCTGAAAATGAAGACTTACCTGACAAAGAGAATGCTCCAGATTTTGACGAGGACGCTTTACAAGGTGAGCTAGGTTCAACTTTGGCTTCAGCCACTGTTAAAACGTTTTCTATTCCACTAGTTTCAAGAATGTAAGCAGATGTGGAGAACAATATATACACTGCATGACCACTTTAAAGGATATTTGGCCAGTCATGACTCTCATCTATGATTACAATATGTTGTTCATTGACTGAGAGGATCTATGACATATTTGTTATTTTCTTTTCTCAAAGTTCAAAGCAAGTACACAAAGTTATAATAAGTAAAGAGGTTATTTGATCATCATATAACATTCATTTTGTAAGTTTGCATCATAAGTACCATCATCATCATCAACATCTTTCCATTATATTATGCAACAATCAATTGAAAGTTTCAACTTCCCCCAAGCAACCAATTTCCAGTAGAGTGCAAGTGTTATATCATTGAATATGGAGGTGTTTAACCCTTGACACCCAATTCAATTCATCTTCATTTGAAGATTAATGCTTCTTAGGTTGGTGATCATTTCCTTTATTCTCATGAGCTTAGTGAATGATTCAGCAGTATTACTGGAAGGAGAAGTGAGATACTGGTCACTCTTAGGGTTTAAAGAGTTAAGGTAGATAGTGAACTTTCACTAACAAATGGCTCAGAAGAAATAAGTCTACAAGGTCTAGGTTTTAAAGCTTGGTCAATTAGTTGAAAGTCAGGTTGCTAATTATTTTTTTTTTTTTTGTATAAAAATTGTGTGGGGCATTTGAACACATTCTTAATTTTGCCTGTGGAAAAGGAATTTTATGAAACCTATCTCCAAAAGTTAAAATGCCCAGGGGTTTGTTTCGAATAGAGTGATGCCTAATTCTCATCATTATTATTATCCCTGTTGTCACCTACATTATTAACATCATTATAAATATTAATCTCATCTTCTTTATCATTATTCTTCTCATTTATATAATAACTATTTTTCTATTAGTAATATTGCTTCTGGTTTTTATGACTGCAACATTTGGATCTTATTGACTCATTAATAAGGTATCTAAATGTATTAAAGGCAGTAGACTCTTCTACACTTATAATATGCCAACCCTCCCTGATTGTCAGGGAGTCTCACAGACACAGACCAAGACTCTGGGTCTGCCATATGGGTCATCAAACCTTTAAGATAATTTAAACTCCAGATTTCCCACATCTAAGGTTATCTTGCCTTTTGTTAAAATTAGGGTTCTTATCTTAATTTTCTTGATTGCACTTAGATTGTTTCAAAGTAGGGATGACACTTTCTTCCAAACAACAACCACAACAGCAAATGAGTCTGATTGGTTGAGCTATCAACCAAAAAATCTCTCATGAATTTACTGAATGGGGTGTGTCCTGTGAAGGGGGCATGGGGGGGGGGGTCTGCACACATCCTCTAAGCTTTTCAGGGGATGGGTCAAGTCAGGCAGGTGCAAAAGTGGCAGCTGGCACAAAAGGAAAAATCTTCAGATTTTAAATCTCCAGATCTTGGCAGCTCTGCTCATACACTAATTAACTACAACCACAGATAATTATTGACTATAACCACAGACTTTGACACAAATTATTTTTTATTTTTTCTCTGCAGCCATAACTGATGTTTATAAGAATAAGGGTAATGAGGCCTTCAAGAAAGGAGATTTCATCAATGCTATTCATTTTTACACCAAAGGAATTAAAATGAACTGCAATGAGAAAGAACTGAAGGCCAAACTGCACAACAAGAGGGCTATTGCACATTTTAAACTCGGTAAGATGATGAGAGCTTTAAGATGCATTTTTTTTTCTTTTGAAGCTATTGAGTTGTTATCAGTAGTTTTCTGAGATAGGTGATAATTTTTAATGCATGCCCAGAAAAATATACATCTTATCTTAATAGGCCTTGCGAATATACAAAGAAGTAACCTCTTATACCCCAGATATCAGTGAGCATCGCAAGTTTTTCCTAAAATTATTGTAATGGAGTGGTGGTTGGTTTGCTACATGTATGGCTAATCAGAGATATTTATTTTGATAACAGGAAATCACCAGGATTCACTAAGGGATGCAGAAGCAGCCATCGAGTTAAATCCAACTTTCCTTAAGGCAATTGTGAGAGGTTAGATATGTTAGCTGTGCTATAATAATAATAATAATAATAATAATAATAATAATAATAATAAAAGAATAACTCAACACTCTAAGGTTAAAAAAGATTAGATGAAGTTCAATCTTGTCTCAATGGACTTTAATTAAGAGTTCGAGACCACCCTGATGTGCATTTGAATCCAGCTCTTGACTGCTATGCAACTACTTTCCATTAATTATGATGAGAATATTATTTTGAGCTGGATGAAGAACTCAATGCAGAATGCAAAGCAAAATTTCAGCACAAGTATTTTAGTTCCTTAAGCTCACTCAGAGTGAGGTAGTCACAGGTGTCAGATATGTTAAGTCACTATCTAGCTGTTTTAAAAAGAAGTAAGGATCAGGACTTACCTAACTCTTTAGGCAAGGAATTGTCAGTCCCAATTTAAATGTTCTTAGAAGTTTCAGTTGTCTTAAAAGCTAAATAAATCTAACTGAAACCTGATAGGGCCTGTTTATTCTTTTCCATTCAGTATTTTTGCTTTGTTTTGTTTTGTCATTTTTTTTTCTTCTGGTCTGTAATGATTTCAATGGTTTCAGGCTCTTTTTTCAGAATTGAGCTACAGTAATAATATGCTTCTTTATGTTGTTGCCCATAGGAACCACTGCTTGTGTTGAATTGAAGAGATTTGAGGAAGCAATCACTTGGTGTGATAAGGGACTAGCTGTATCCTTTGAAGGAATCCTTCATTTTTAACCGTGGGTATAATGGAAAAAGTTTCCATAATTTGATGTTTTAGGGGAGAAAATACAAAGAATTAAGGGTATTAATTATGATGGGAACTTGTCAGCTCATACTTTAAGAGTGTGTGATTAAAAAACATGGGAAAAGTTATTACCTTGTGACTTATCAATGATATTACTCCTTTTAGCCAATTTGACTTAGTTCTACTATCTATGCCAATAACTTGTACATCAGTTTAGATAACCCTTTAATTCACAGACCAAATTTGTAATTATCCTTACAGTCAACTGTACAATTCTTGTAATGTTAGTTCAGAGAATTCAGTATTGGATCAACTAATTATTCCCAAATTGATATTTTTCTTTACTCTCCACACTTATCTGATGATGTTGTATAGCTCTCGTAAGGAGAAATTCTCTCTTGGTCACTCATGGGAGTTAAAGGGTTAAAAGTCAAATATTCACCCAATTTATACATAGTACGTGAGTAGATCAGATCTCTCTAAAACAAGCCAGAACAAAAAGCTTGGTAATGTTTACATATCCTATGCAGATTTTCTTGAATTTAACCTTTTCAACTACTTAGAGACCTGGAAACTTTCGTCATGTTTTCCTAAGGACAAATACAACTTTTAAAGGCACGTATTTGTGTTGTAGACTTGTTTCTTCCACTGCTGTAAAACATTCGTCTGATGTTAAAGCTATATTAATTTAAAAATTAAGCAGGTGCTCCCCAGTTTTTGGAAACAAGGGATTAAATGTAGATATTACGCGTTAAATTTTGAGTGTAGATTTACTTCATAACTGACTGAATGTTGATAAAACATCTACGTTTCACACAAGCCCTCCTAATAGACCATTTTATAGTTGTGTGCCTAGTTGCCAAGCCTTTGATTTGGAGTGAGGCTGAAGGTGACCTTGTTGTGATAGAGACCAGTATCTATAGTGACAATAATAACAAAATAATTTGCATTTGAAAAGCAGCAATGTTTTATCATAACAAGGTCACCCTTTATAGCCATCACTCTTGTTCAGAGGCTTTACAACCAAGCATGCAACTGTAAAAATGGACTATTACATACCAATATAATGAGAAATATAATATTCTCGTTTTGTCCGCCCTTTTAACCCTTAACATAAAAAAGATTGACAAAAACAATAGGATCTTGTCCTCATTAAGACTTCAGTCTGTCAGAGAAGTGGGAGAAAAGTCCATGGAGGAAAAAGATCCTATTAGTCATAACCATGGTAGTGCAAGTTCAGGTGATGTCAAGAAAGTCATAGACCTCTATAATCAGGGAGAAGAAGCCATAAAGTACCTCAACCTACTTAAAATAGCTAAAGAAGTAGGAGACAAGCATGGGGAGGGTGGTACTTATGGCAATCTTGGCAAAGCTTCTCTCTGTCTGGGTGATTTCAAAAAAGCCATAGAGTACCACAACCTACATCTTAAAATAGCTAAAGAAGTAGGAGACAAGCATGGGGAGGGTGGTGCTTATGGCAATCTTGGCAATGCTTATCGCCGTCTGGGTGATTTCAAAAAAGCCATAGAGTACCACAACCTACAACTTAACATAGCTAAAGAAGTAGGAGACAAGCATGGGGAGGGTGGTGCTTATGGCAATCTTGGCAATGCTTATTTTAGTCTGGGTGATTTCAAAAAAGCCATAGAGTACCACAACCTAGATCTTGAAATAGCTAAAGAAGTAGGAGACAAGCATGGGGAGGGTGTTGCTTATGGCAATCTTGGCAATGCTTATGACAGTCTGGGTGATTTAAAAAAAGCCATAGAGTACCACAACCTAGATCTTAAAATAGCTAAAGAAGTAGGAGACAAGCATGGGGAGGGTGGTGCTTATGGCAGTCTTGGCAATGCTTATTGCCATCTGGGTGATTTCAAAAAAGCCATAGAGTACCACAACCTACATCTTAAAATAGCTAAAGAAGTAGGAGACAACCATGGGGAGGGTGGTGCTTGTGGCAATCTTGGCAATGCTTATTTTAGTCTGGGTGATTTCAAAAAAGCAATAGAGTACCACAACCTAGATCTTGAAATAGCTAAAGAAGTAGGAGACAAGCATGGAAAGGGTGTTGCTTATGGCAATCTTGGCAATGCTTATGACAGTCTGGGTGATTTCAAAAAAGCCATAGAGTACCACAACCTAGATCTTAAAATGGCTAAAGAAGTAGGAGACAAGCATAGGGAGGGTGTTGCTTATGGCAATCTTGGCGTTGCTTATTTTAGTCTGGGTGATTTCAAAAAAGCCATAGAGTACCACAACCTACATCTTAAAATAGCTAAAGAAGTAGGAAACAAGCATGGGGAGGGTGTTGCTTATGGCAATCTTGGCAATGCTTATTGCCGTCTGGGTGATTTCAAAAAAGCCATAGAGTACAGCAACCTAGATCTTAAAATGGCTAAAGAAGTAGGAGACAAGCATGGGGAGGGTGTTGCTTATGGCAATCTTGGCGTTGCTTATTTTAGTCTGGGTGATTTCAAAAAAGCCATAGAGTACCACAACCTACATCTTAAAATAGCTAAAGAAGTAGGAGACAAGCATGGGGAGGGTGGTGCTTATGGCAATCTTGGCAATGCTTTTCGCCGTCTGGGTGATTTCAAAAAAGCCAAAAAGTACCACAACCTACATCTTAAAATAGCTAAAGAAGTAGGAGACAAGCATGGGGAGGGTGTTGCTTATGGCAATCTTGGCAATGCTTATCACTGTCTGGGTGATTTCAAAAAAGCCATAGAGTACCACAACCTACATCTTGAAATAGCTAAAGAAGTAGGAGACAAGCATGGGGAGGGTGTTGCTTATGGCAATCTTGGCAATGCTTATGACAGTCTGGGTGATTTAAAAAAAGCCATAGAGTACCACAACCTACATCTTAAAATAGCTAAAGAAGTAGGAGACAAGCATGGGGAGGGTAACGCTTATGGCAATCTTGGTCGTATGTATCAAAGTAAGGGAGATTTGATAAAGGCTAACGAGTCATACAACCTAGCGCTTAAAATTGCTCAAGGGGTTGAAGACAAATACTTGGAGGCAATGACCTACTGTTCGTTAGGATGCGTTTCTGAGTTGCAGGGTGGACTGCCAAAAGCCGTTGAACATTACCAAGCTAGCATAAACTTATTCAATTCCTTGAGAGTACTTCTAAAATCTAAAGATGAGTGGAAAGTTAATTTTCGAACTCAGTATCAAATGGACTATACGGGTTTGTGGAGAGTTCTCCTTGAACAAGGTAATATAGATGAAGCCTTATTTGTTGCTGAGAAAGGACGAGCTCAAGCTCTGTCCGACCTTATGGAATCTAGTTTTTGTGGTGGAACAAGTCAGCACAAGACAGGCGATGAAGATTTAGCAGTCACTGCTAAGTCTTCATCGATTTGGATGAAACGTTTTTTAAAAGTTTTAAACAACGTTCCATCAAACACCGTCTTTCAGGCAGTGGATAGAGCTGATGTCAATCTTTGGCTTATGTCCGAAGGAAAACAAGTTCAGTTAAGACAAAGTAAACTCAAAGGTTTTGTTTCAGAGAATAGTGGAGCTAGCCAGTCCTTTGAGTCGTTCATGCTCGGTGTCTATACACAACTCGGTGTTCGTTCTATTAGAAGATGCGAGGATCGGTCTTTGGATGCTTTGAGGGAGAGCCCTTCAAAAGTGGATGAGAAACCTAAAGAAGACACCCTTCAACCTGCCATCCAACAAAACAAATGCTTGAGCACTTTGTATGATAGCGTCATGAAGCCGGTGGCTGACCTGGTTCAAGGGGATGAGCTAGTCATTATTCCCGATGGACCCCTGTGGCTTGCTCCTTACGCTGCTTTGAAGGATGGTAATTCTAAATACCTGTGTGAATCTTTCAGAATCCGAATCGCTCCATCATTAACGAGTCTTAGACTCATTGCCGATTGCCCAGATGATTATCATAAAAGCAGTGGTGCGTTACTTGTAGGAAATCCGTGGGTAGTCGAGGTTACCAACAGCAAGGGAGAGAAACTCCTCGAGCAGCTTCCGTGTGCTGAAGAAGAAGTAGAAATGATCGGAAAAATTCTGAATATCGCGCCAATCACTGGCAGACAAGCCACGAAACGTGAGGTGTTAAAAAGACTCGGTTCCGTTTCCTTAGTTCACTTTGCGGCACACGGATGTATGGAAACTGGCGAAATTGCTCTTACACCTGACCCAGACCGAACATCTACTGTGCCTACCGAGAAGGAGGATTACATTTTAACGATTCGAGATGTGTCAAATGTTCAACTTCGCGCTAAACTAGTTGTACTTAGTTGCTGCCACAGCGGTCGAGGCGAGATCAAGGCTGAAGGTGTGGTTGGCATTGCGCGCGCTTTTATGGGGGCTGGTGCCCGGTCTGTTGTGGTGTCCTTGTGGGCGATTGATGACAAGGCTACTCTTGAGTTCATGAAATGCTTTTATCAACACCTTGCCGAAAGTGAACCTGCAAGCAAGTCACTGAACCTGGCCATGAGAAGCCTTAGAGAATCAGACCAGTTCCGCGACATCAAACACTGGGCTCCCTTTTTGCTGATTGGAGATGACGTCACTTTTGACTTCATGGCAAAGGAAAGAGGAAATTTGAATACAGTATTAAATAAATGAAAACTTGTTTTTTTTCCATCTCAAAAAGAATGACGCATGAACTAAGAGGGGTTAAATGTTTCTCTATTTTGGCAATTTCGGCTATTTTTCATCACTTTCTACTTTTTGTTGAATGGAACTCGAGATGTGTAACTGTACTTTGGTGAAGAAATAAAATCAGACTATTTTATTATATTTTGGTCAATGGAATCGTCTTTTTTTCTTACCTTTACAAATTTAAATGCTTGCGAAGAGAACGAAATCTAACAACGCTTTTGTTATGAATGCCTACAATAGTTGAACGCGAATACGAGATTTTCGTTTTCGTCAAAATGACACTCAGCTCTATTTCTGCATTACAATCAGTTGTATGGACAACACTTTAAAGGGTTTTTCTTCTTTTACATAACCAGAAGCTTGTCCACTGGGTTTTAATTACATTTATGCTCTAAGCTTCTTATAAGCGAAGAAACAATTCGTCATTTGCTAAAGTTGGCGAATTTTTTTATTTCCAAAAATTTGATTTGCAAAATTTGCTTGACGATTTTTCTGCATCATAAATTACTTTGTTACAAATTGAGATTATCTTCACAAGAAAAATTGATTTTTTTTTCAATCTATTTTGATGTAATCTAATTCTATCAATGCCAAGATTGCCATTCTAAGCTAAATTTGAAGAAGTAAACATTAGAGATGATGTTATTGAATCTACTGACCATATGTTAGAGACATAAGACCTACTTTTAAAGGTGTAGCCAGCCTCTAGTCCCGTAGCCCCGGCCTACAATTGTTTTCCACCCGCTTAACTTTTATAATATGACTCTTTCAAATGTTGAAACAAAAATTGAAATTTCTCAGAGAACAGGCCGACAAGAGGTCAAAAGGCTGGTTATCAAATGAGTTTGGTCAATTTTAGTCGGTTTTATCAAAAACTTATCTGTTCGTTTTGAGGAACCAAGAGAGAGAGGTTAAAAATTGTCCATGTAATCTAAACTAGGAAACAGCGACGCAGAGTTGACTATAACTGAAGTTTCCATAGCTGTGACTTTTGATGTATGTGACATGGAATTTGTTGTTTCTAGTTGGAAAATATTTATGCCCATAAATTAGAGATGCAGTTAAAGTAAGCCATGTAGTCCTCGTTGGAAATTATTTTGGTGAAAAGGTTCATGAATAAATGTAAACCAATTCTGTAGTTGAAAAGGCTCAGGCCTCAGGACAAAACTTTTAATTTTTGAAAATTACCTGTTCAAACTTTCTTCTTTGCTTTAAATTTACCTTAGCATAATTTGAAGATGTCTTTTTTAGTTTTAAGAACTTATACTTAGGTATTTAGAGTACGCTTTGTTATTAGAACCCGTTATGTGTATTTCGTGTGAAGTGTTTTGATGCTATTTTTCTTTAAAGTTGAAGATAATTGTTTATTTACCTTAGTTTATATTAAGTCATGAACTCCCAAGTTCTGAAGAAAAATCTCCCAACTGATAAGAGCGTGTTTCTCTTTGTTGCTTATTCCGAGAACTCGATGTAACATCACGTTTCTAGTAGAAAACTACCCTCCAGTTTGATATTCTAGAATTCTTTTAGACACCATATTTGTCGGTGTGTTAATACTGTGAGGAGAGTTTAAATTATGATCAGCCTTGGGAGTAATTGGGTTCATTATGGTGTCTCCGTTTAGCGCGTATTTTACTTAATGCCTCGGACAATTTAATGCAGTTTCTATTGTACTTATTTTTTTACTTCTATTATACTTATTTTTTTACTTCTTTGTATAAGAGAAATGTTCAGTGTATAAAATACAAAAACGGCGTTGATTTTCATTGTCTTTCTCCATATTCCACCACGTTTTCCATAGCAGTCTCATTACCGCATGGAAGCCTTCAGTTATGTTACTCCCGTTCCATCGCAAATACACAGGCTACACCTTCAATGTCTCCTCCAAAGACAGCGAGAATTCTCCACTCCATCCACAGAAGAATGATTTTAGATATATAAAATTCATATATTTGCACAGCGGTGAAGAAACGAATTTAAGAGATCCTCGCAGCTAAGAACACTACTGAACTAGTATCATTATTCGTCACTTGGATAGTTTATTTGGACCCAACACATTGACCAGCTCCCAATTGGCTTGTTAGCTCAGTTGGTAGAGCGCTGCACCGGTATCGCAGAGGTCATGGGTTCAAATCCCGTACGGGCCTGAATTTTTTCCAGGTCCTATTTTCAACTACTAGTTCAGTAGTGTTCTTAGCTGTGAGGATCTCTTAAAATTCATTTCTTCTCCGCAGTGAAAATATATGAATTTTATATATCTAAAATCGTTATTTATTAAGAATAAATTACGCACTCCTTTGTGGCGGATCTAGGAGGTAATCAGAATATTCGGCGTAATGTACTAAAGTGAGGTGATAACGGCATATTTTTCAGTCGTTTTAGAGTAGCTTGAGAATATTTCCCGGGGTGGATTATTACAGATAGCCCTCCCCTCACTACTGACGACCGCGTTCGGTTCTCACTTTGACCATCTCCTCACAAGTCCCGGATTCATTTCAGTTCATGAACAGCTGCACATAGCTCAGAGAAAGTCTAACAATGACCATGGTATATTTTTACATATTTCAACCGAAAGAAATACAGATAGGACATTTTATCAAGCAATAATTCTGCATCAAGCGCTTAAAAGAAAAAAATACAGGAAGTTTGATTATTGTTCATGTTGACGGCAGATGTAAAAATTAAAATTGAGGGCTGTTTTTTGTGACATCAATAGATGTAAATTAAGTGTGAAAAATGCAATATTGTGATTAGAATATGGAAGACTTTAGCCTATTAGGGTCAGTAAGTAAGAAAGGAATGAAAAACAACGAATCGGCCAATGACAGGACTATAAATTTATTTAGTCCACGGATAAAGAGTAGTTTGCAAATGAGCGATGTCAAAGACAGGGATTGTATTAGTTTCTCTTTACACCGTAAAGTGATTGGTCAAGAGTTTTGCTCCATCTGCCAGCTACTCCAAAGCAATTAGAGCCAGTCGCGACTTTACTAATAAAGAAGCAAAATTATTTTCCTCAATTTTTCTCTCTAAATAATCTGCTGTTTAAAGTTTGTCCACTATTGCAAATAGAGAATGTTGAATTCAGGTTGTATTGAAAAAGGCAGAACCGTAAAAACTCAGCACATAAGATTACTCCATCTGATTCTTGTACCACTACAATAGACGAAAAATGTTATGTGGTGCTATGTATTATGCAACCATCTATATGTGCAATCATATGTATGCAGTCGACTACGTGACCGATTCCGAGAACACACTCGCGACGTAGAAAGAAATGACGTGGACGCATCCAAACGAGTCGCTAAACAATTTAATCTCCCTACTTATTCTATACAGCATATGGCAGCTTCCGGCCTTTCCCTACATTAAGGCAGCTCGGAAAGCCGCAAAACGCTAGAGCAAAAATTTATCTTCTTAACGAGCGCTTCTCATTCAACTAATTTATTCTTGTGTTCTCGTCACCATATTCCCACCAATAATGTAGCTCCATTGTCTACATATAAACCCACACACAACCCACAACTCCTCCAATCGCTCTGACGAAGAGCTAACGCTCGAAACGTCAGCCTTTACACTCTTCACGGTGGCCAATTTACGTTTTCAACTCAGTTGTTAACACTAAATTATCCATATATATATATATATATATATATATGTGGGGGTAGAGTCTACCTCGGCATAAAGTGCTCAATGCTGTGGTAGCAGAGCTGGATATATATAAGTGAAAGAGTCAAAGAGGACGCATCGATTCTCTGTTACTCTGAGTTTCGCGCCTAAGTGCTCGTTCGACAGAAAAGTTCTATATATATATATAGATATATTTACATATATATAAATTGTTCTTTGCTTTGTGATGGATCTGTACCGGGAGATCTGAGGAATCTTGGCATTCCTTGTCGATCTATTAGTGACAACTGACTTTAGTGAGAATTTCCATAAGAGCGTCAACTTTATGCATCACTAATTTCTCTTAGAATGGCAGAGAGAACTAAAGTGGATCTGAGCGCATGATTCGCAATCCGGATATCTGTGGTCTGTCTCTGGCCAGCCTCCTCCTGGGAGCGAGGTTGGAGTCTAACGTCATTCTTTGTACATAGCCAACTACTCTTCCACCGACTGGAGTTATTAAGAAGCTACGTCATATAATGTGAGGTCTCTTCATCTCCAAAGGGAATCGTCTTTTTTGAATAAGTATTTGTTTGCTGTGGTAGACAAACACTTATGAAAGTTCCAAGATAACAAAAAAAGAAAAAAACCAGGAAAGCCGAGAACAACGGTGATTAGCGCAAGTTACAATTTAAAGAGGTGAAAATTGAGGCTTAATTTACAAAACCGACTAACCGTCTGAGTGAAAGGCGTGGAGCTCCTAGTACTTTGTTTAATTAGCATAAAATGTATAACCTTCTGTCTTTGCCTAAGTTAGTAAGTGCGCGGGTTATTGTTGACAAGGTTGAGACTTTTAGTCGAATGGACAACCATCAGGTCTGGCCGACTTAACGTTATTCTTTACATCAGAAACCGCACAGCTAAATTCTGGAAGTCTATGTGTGATCGTAAGTAAGTAAAGGCTTTATTTAAAGAGGGATATATTTAACTGTAGTAAAAACACTGATGAACTTGTGGCCCTTATTACACTATAAAGCGACCTAAAAATCGGTTTTGTATTTAATTCACAAGCTATACACTTAACAAGGTTATAAATTTATTATCCTATCGACAAGTACAAATACATACATTAATTGATGACAACCTTAAAATGATTCAAGTAGCGAGGAAGCTTTCCAGTTATTTATAAATTTCTCATACAAAATGCGCTTGAAACTAGCAACTGATACTTTCTTACGCCTGACTCTATTGAACTCCAATGCTCAATTTTCCTAACCGTTAAAGTTCGTCATCCATCAGTTTTCCTTAGGTACTTTTTTCAAATCAAGTTTAACATTACCATGGCCGAGGCTCTT